GTAAAGCGAATGTAGGAAATTGAATGTAAAAGGAAAATGGTTCCAGCTAGCTCTTGTTCAAATCAGCCTCTTCAGCATTTATGCTAATACTATGGCGACGTCAGTCCACTCCTAATGTACGGTTTATGTGAATATACAGTAGGAAAAATTATACATTTGGCCAAAACAAAGCTCAAGTGAACATCTTCATAGAGATGACCTGCTACACATTAGGTTGTTTGATTAAAATACTTTGTAAACACATTTTCAATTAATTCTGTAGTGATTAGAGCATTGTCTGAGTCAAAATACCTCTTCTCAGCATGTTTGAGTCTGTGTAAGATTGATATATATTTCAGTAATGTAATTAAAGTAATTCAGTTGTGAATCCTTGATTCCTAAGTCACTACAAATAATTCTAATCAGAAATACAGTTGTTCAAACAGTCCATATTCACTATGGTGTATTTAATACCACCCAGGGAGGCATAAAATTGTGCTCAAAAAATTGTATAAATTATAATTTACAAATTATAATTATCATTATAAATGATTTCTTGTCTGCTGTTGAATTTGGGATGTAAATCAATGTAACATGCAAAAGTTGCAAATGAGCATGGGGCATTAAGAATCCAATGGAACAAAGAAGGCGAGATTGTGTCTAATAGAATCAAAGATGAGGCGATATTACGAGTGGTGAGAGTGGATAGATAGGCATCACGCCATACCAAAGATGGAGTGTGGTTTCATGAATGACTCCTGTGGCTCTTTGAGCGGAGGGAACATCAGTCTGCATGGGTACTCCACATGGGCTCTTAGCCATTTTTCTCACATGGCACGAATTGAAGCAGTGCAACAGTTCAAAAAGGCAATCAGGTTCAGTCTGGAAGAGGATTTCCTGAATACATCAAATAGAAATGGCTTAGGATTGATAGAATATGCAGTTTTCTACAATCCTTGTGCTGTATCTTTGTTCTATTGAAGGCATATGACATTAGAAAGGTACGATACAAAGTTAAATACTCAGTGAATCCAGCCAGAGTGCCTGTCCCATCAGCAAGAGCCTTTCGGATCACAAATTGATTAATTTCTGACATGTGTAGAATGGTGTGAATCATAAATCATGAGTTTCAATTATTTTATTGCTCCGCTTGATCTGTCACCAGAACATCTACCAGGCTGTACTTTAATTGTACCCCCAGAGTTCAAATATAGATAGCACAATATATAGACCATGTATAGTCCTCTCAAGACTCACCAGGACAAGGTGTTCATGTGGCTTTGGCCTGTAATTGGTGGATGTGGAGAGTTGACAGTTTGTGTTAATTATTGGTCTTGGTTCATTTTCTGTAGAGCAGACATTATTTTGGTTAACTTTATAACTAATAATAGTATCAATAATTCTTATAGAAATAATTTATTTGATTTATTATTTGTTGTTTTATAAAAGATGCACACATTTGACACAGATGTCATGGAGTAACCATGACCCTATTGTGGGCAAACATATATTTGATTTGTTACGATTTATGTAAAGCTAAAGTAAGGTATCCACAAGGGTTTAACTTTTAAAAAAAAGAGAAAAAATCTAATTGATATAGACTAGTTGTTTTCCATCCAGATATGACAAATGCTGCAGCTTTGTCAGAAATGGCTGAAGTCGTTTGTGCCAAGTTGAAATGGATTTCCTTCACTCTTGTCTTTGCAAGACAAGCCTTTTCTTGCTACAAGGACACGCTGGCCTAATTTTTGAGGTAACAAAGTGCAAACCACACGACCAGAGGCACAGTCAAATTATTTCTGCCACTAAATCTGTGAGACTAGGCTATCTCTTCTGTGAGCTGCATGAATGGATGCATAAATCTGCATATTTAGCCTGTCAGACAAGTCTGTACACTCTATTTAGCCTAAACAGCAGAATACACTCACAGATGACTAATTATCGTTTCATTTGAGAAAAAGTTGAAAAATAACAAAGAATAACAACGCAGATAAACACTGTGACAAGAGCATAACTGGAGTATTAATCTTCAAACTATGAAAAAAATGATTATGGATATAATAAAATGCTGAAGAGAGGCACCACAACAAACTCAGACAGAATATGTAGCATCTAGCAGCAAACAAGTTCTCCTTATTCACCTGAAATAACATGTTTTTTTGACTCTTCCAATCTGATGAGTCAGTTTAGAGACAAAATGCAACCAACCCAGTGATATTTGAATTTGTTGAAATCTGCAATTGCCACTAACTCCAAACAGCCTAATCATGGAATGCATAGATTAAAAAAAATCCTGAAATTTGATAGAAGTGTGCCCCGGACTGAGAACAAGCAATGATGCCTTTTGTCTGCTTTTGCCTGTAGTTGTCTGCTTTGAAAGAGCAGAACTGGACTCCGCTCTGTGTGTTATTTATGAGAAGTGCCGACGCAGCCGAGGCCTTTCACTGTGGTTGGAATATGATCTCTTATACAGGCCGTATAGATCTGAAAAAATACACAACAATCAATGGCTTCTCTGAAAAGATAGCAAAGTGTACAGCACACAACACACACAGTTAGGCCTTGTTGTTGTAATGTGGTAAAGCTATCAATGTAGTGGAACTGGAAAAAACTATTTCTTACCTCACTAAACACATAATGTATGAGAATTGTGTTCTGGTTTTGCTGCAATATAACATACCAATATATGTTTCACATGGGCAAAAAGCAACCTCACAGCAAGTCCCAGGCTTGTTCCTGTACCATGGGACCTTTTCTGTATGTTCAGTTTACTCCCAAATCTTCCCATTCCCAAAACCATCTAAAACCTCCACTGTATAGTTTTCTGCCAGCTGGATCAGACCAAGAACCTAAGACAGAAATTGTGCTGTCTTTAGTATCAAAAACAGGTCAGGCCTCTACAGCATGGCTTATTTCACCCATGCATTTGCCAAGGGAGTCTTGTCAGCGGGCTTTGGCTCGCACTGTGGAAAGAAATTGGTGCACTTAACTCATAGATTAGCCATTAAAAAGCTGTTAGTGACTCTCTTACCATCAACTCAATGCAATCAGTGCAGCAGAGATACGCTCCTCATTACAGCCCAGGCACAGAGGGTAAATTCCCTTGAACTCAATTCGCAGAATGCACTGGAAGGAGGTAATGGTCATTTTAGTTGCTTCTGATAAAGCTGGTTCATATCATCTCTCTAGAAAAAGCATGGAAGGGTTATAGATTTTGAATGTTTTAATGTAGTCCAGGGGTACATGTCCCAATTCTGTTTATTTCTTCATTTAGTGATGTGAAATTCTAACATCGTGATACCAAACATAGCACTGACCGTGGCTCAAAATCCTATGCAACATATTTTAAATTTTAGTTATTCAACATGAAGTGATAGGGTCAGAAGCCATACATGAGACACTGGCAAAGATTATTTGGCCATTTACTGTATATTCTTTTTACATGTGGGGCTGTTAATCTTTAGATAATTAATCGGCTGATGTATTAGTCGGCCAATCACGTTTATTGAATTTATTTTGGAAACTATCAAAACAAAATGTACAGTAATAAGAAGCTCATTGTTTACCGTTTTGTGTTTTAAGGTTTGAAGGATTTCTTTGAAATTTATTTCACATTGATTTATTGTTCCATCATGCTTTAGTTGTTTTACATAAAGCTAACGTCAAGTGATAAATCATGGACATGTATTTCCAAATGAATTTTTATGAGTGCAGGTGAGCATTAGTGCGTATCACAGAACAGAGCATTCCACTTGAAGTATTTCTGTTAAAGGTACTGTTTAATTTAAGTCACTAAATTTAGCACCTGCTTCTAGTTACTTCAAAATCAGTTCTTTCCAGTATTTTTGTTTGAATCAAAGTTTTCCAGCACAGGTCACAGCATGGATATTTTTGGAACAAAAGGCAGCTCCTGTTTATTGTCTTTACTTGAGCTCTTCAAAAGCCAGCGGGCAGTACAAACATGCAGTACTTAACGGTGCAGGAAGCAGCGAGAGAGGATAAAGAAAGTCCACCAAAAACCTTATTAAAGCTGTGCATAGCTATAGATTTGTGACTCGGTGGTCACTAGCATCATTCCAAATATTAAGTGATGCCCATGTTACAATAGGATCAGCCATTAAGGGGTTCTTCTTTAAAGGTGTCAGGAGGAGACAGGATATGGCTATATTAAGGAAGCAGAACTGGAAGAAGTTTGGTTTGGCTCTGAGACAAGCCTTGCCCTGAAAATGCACTCCAGCGCAGCTTATCAGGGAAAGCAATATGCACAGCCCACCAACTTCTGAAATTCAGCAATTAAATGTCAAAGGCAATTGCCCACATGTTTCCTAAATGTGAATGCAAATGTAAATGTGCCGGAGGAACTGGTGCGGAGAGAGGTCTATGAGGCTAAAATCTGTGTGGGTATTAACAGCTGACAAAGATACATACATTTCATTCCACAAAACAATATCAACTGTTATCAATCAACGTTTTCTTAAATTCACCGTCTAGAATCTGATGTAGGTCATAAGAAGTATAGTGACATAACAGCAAAGTTTAGTTTTTTTTTCTTTATTTTATTCTGGTGGGATAGAGATGGTACCAATAGTAAACATCAATCATCAGTAAAGTAAGAATTTGTGGGAAAAAACCAAGATGAAATTTACTGTTAAAGCTGTGTGTTTCTTTGGTGTACCTAATTTTGAAATCACTAAAAATAACTAAAAAATCCTATACAAATTCTCTTGCTCTAACAATTGTTTAATTCTTTCATATGCATGTATTTTTTGCCTCTGTTATATCTTTACATCAGCCTTTTCAGCTCTCAGTATTTACATATACTAATGAGCTAATGTTTTCTAATAGGGTAAAGACAGTATGTAGTTGTTCACAAAATGTTACTTAATCAAGACATTATCTGTTGGGACGAAATCCAAAACTATAGGTTTATAGGTACACCAGCTTTAATTGCCAATATTTTTTTTAGGTCAGCAAAGCCTAAAAGCAAAACAAATGTAAACAATGTGTGAACTATGTTTCAGGTGGGCCCTCTAAATGGTCATCGTCTCACTGCGACTGCTGCTGCAAGAGCCACAAGAGCGAGCACGAGGGCGAGAGCGGCACCTCCCTCAACGACCTGTCCACCTCCTGCTCCGAGTCCCAGTCTGAGGCTGGCTCTCCCCACGGGACCGTGATCAGAGCCCCCGTGTCCCGCCCCTGCAACGCCCAAACTCTGGACCGCTCCAAGGGGCCGTCCCACGCGCAGCAGCAAGCCGAGATGAGACGCAAAACTGACGTGATGAGAGTCAGGACATTCGGCGCGGCCAAGGGAAGGAAAATCAACAACAAAGAGAAGATGACGCCGGAGCAGGAGCTGGAGAAGTGCATCCAGGACTTCCGACGCATTAAAATTCCTGATCAGTTTCCGGAGAGGAAGTACATGTGGCAATCAGAGCTGCTAAGAAAGTACCGGCTTTGAATATAAGGGATATCACGTTACCATGGGTGAAAGGTATCAGAATTCACAGGCTATAAACAGCAGCACCCTTCAAGACACAAGCTGTATTATAAGAAATGTAGACACTATGCCGCCAGCACAACTGTATCAGAGCACAAATGCAAGGTTGCCGGAGTTTGGTTTGTCCATTGAGCACAGTGTCACGTGAAAGACCCATTTAAATTGGGTTTTCTCCAAAGTTTGACTTGTTCTGAGCATTATCCCTCCACACGACTGTAACATCAAGTAACAACTTTACCTCAGGGCAACATTGCTTCAAGGAGAACGGACAAAAAAAATACATACGTGTGTTGTCTCACATTCCACCTATGGCACAACAGCATACAACACAATGAAACTGGCTTTTACGTTAAATTGAACTGACCTTAAAGTTTATGAGAACTGAAGTTGATCACAATATTCACGTACATACACAAATCTATACTGTCTGTGAGGCTTTCCAAACAGCACTGCATGTCATATCACCATGAGCATATATGCAATATCGGAAATGAAAAGCCAAAGGCTTTTGTTAAGGAATGCACTGCCTAGATCTGTAAGCCATGTACATTTCCTTTGTCAACATTTGTCATGCGTTGGGTAGATGATGTTTTCTGGTATGTAATGCCAATGAGTGTCTGACAAATCCTTGACTTTAAGTGTGCAAAATCATCAAATAAATACGTTTTAATTTCAGTTTGACCAAATGGTTCTTCAAATCTAATCTTTGAAATGGCATGACCATGGATGTATTGTACCAGTTGAGACTGGTACAGTAAAACTAGTAGTATTATCATAATGCATTGCGATTGTAAAACACTTTACAGGTTTGTACAGGTTACAAGTCTCTCAAAACACTAATAAGTCACTACTTAGTACTCTACTACAGTATTTTTTATATGTAACATAGTAACATTTATATGCTTGCCTGTTTTGGGTTGTGGGAAAACTGAAGGAAACCCACCCAGACACTAGGAGAAACATCCAAACTCCACATACAAACCCCAAGGCTGACATGGAATTGAACCCACAACCTTCCTGCGGTGAGGCATGAGCACTACCCACTCATCTGCTGGTGATAGCTTATATAGAATTATTCTATCACTTTTAGTCTTCTTCTGCATAATACACTGTAGCAAAGGTGGTTTAGATCTGCAGTACATTGCATCCACATCAGTAATCCACATGTAAGAGATCCCTTCCTGAAATTCTAATCTGTATTTTCATTCTGACACCAACCTGCGGATACAATGACCTGCGTATAAATAGCTACAGTACAGATGCACATCCCTGGAGAGTGTCAGGAAGCATGGAGGACTTTCTTGCACTCTATTTATACATTGGGTGTAAGGTTGCAAAACACATGCAGATCTGTGATTATCTTTGTATATTTATCTCCATAAACAATTCATGTTTGTTAGTTTATTTATTCATTTCAGGCATTTCACATTAAACATTGGGCACAAATCACCTCTTGTCCATCATAGTTTCCAACAAATAATAAATAAAGTATTGCTAACATGCATAAGAGGAAAAAAATAAACCAAAATAGTTGCCTGAAAGGGAGTAGGAAGAAGACAACTTATTTAATCATGTTAAACAAAAATCAGCTTCACTGTAACACTTCATTCAACGACATACAAATATTTTCATATAAAGTTGTTCACTATACTAACACAGAAAGTAACAGTATTCACGCATTTATTCGCAAAAACTGCACTTCAGGTTTTCTGTTTGGCTCGTTGGACTTTTAGCACTACTGTGAATCCAATACCATGATGAAAAATCAATGCATTTGTTTTTGCATTTCAAATCCTCCCAGTACAAGAATGAAGGCTACACTGGCCTGACTCTGCTGATCCCATTGGCCTATCCCACACATTACCCTGAACTTGCTCCTTACCACTCTCCTCCCAGTCAATAGCAGCTTCAGATCCCACTCTGACCTTTCATTAAACACAATCAATATCCATCATCTTTCTGTGGCGTTCAAAGTAACATTAAATATTCAATGAAATGCACTGCTCCTTCAAACTGATTCATTTCTCTAGTGGGGTTAACTGAGGCCTTGTCTTTAGTTTTACATGCAGTTTGTCTGAAAGCTTTATGTAATGGTGTTTCTGTAACCTATAGAGTTCTATGCTGTATATTTAGATGATTATTTATTATTTATGATCAACTGTAGAGCAACTCCTTTTGCTAATCTTGATTTCAGCATAAAGTTATCTGCATTGATTTCTATGTTGAGTGCACTTCCGGATGTGCGTATTCAGCCATGGGAGCAGCTCACAGATATGAATCCATGAAAGAATAAACTAATGGGCTTGTTTACCATGCAGGTTTTAATGTAATACAATGGAATAATGAGGTGTATATGTAGTACATATGAGGTATGTATAAAGTAAAAGTACTTTATATAGACAATGTGTAAGTTGAATCACATTGTAATTCAACTTACAATGTGAAAATAATAAATGACAGACCCAGTACACGCAAAGTGAGACAAATCAAGCCTTTAATTGTTAGAATGTTGATAATTGGCTCACAGCTTGTGAAAACTCCCTATAGAAAAAACCTATATAAAAAAAATATTATATATATATATATATATATATATATATATATATATTTTTTTTTTTAAGATGCACTGGGTAACGGCTGCAAGTCCTTAGTAGCTCTGATTAACAGTTGTTGTTTTGTGCTTTACAATTTTTACTTTTATTGCTTTTTCTGCCTGAGATGTTGCTTCAGTACTGAAGCACAGTATGCGATGGTCTGCGGATCAGGTGTAAATCCACTGGAGGAATGCTGACTTTTTGAAAAATGCTACTGAAGCATTTACAGTACCATTTTACTTTGGACTAGAGCTGAGAAAAAAGTCCAAACCAAGCGGCTACTCCATCTTTTGACCTGTCCTGCTCTACCCAGAGGCTACTCAACCTCTGCTGCTGTGACCCGTCCTGCTCCACCCAAAGACTACTCCATCTATGCTGCTTTGACCCGTTCTGCTCCACCCAGAGGCTACTCAATCTGTGATGCTGCGACCTGTCCTGATCCACCCAGTGGCTGCTCCATCTCTGCTGCTCTGACCCGTCCTGCTCCACCAAGAGGCTACTCCATCTCTGCTGCTGTGAAGGGCTGTGGCTGATTATTACTATTGTTATCTTTTTTTATTTTTTTATTTTTTTTTTCATTTTCTACTGGACACCTGAATTTCTCCTTCGGGGATCAATAAAGTATCTATCTATCTATCTATATTATCTCTCTTTCACTCTCTCTCTCTCTCTCTCTCTCTCTCTCTCTCTCAATATAGTTTTTTTTGTTTTTTGTTTTTAATTGACTGTAAGGCGTACTTGTCAAAATGATAACTAAAAAGGCTTGGCATTTATCACTTCAAGATTCAAGAATTTATTTTCCATTTGCAGTAAAACCACATTGGAACCCCCACTGTACACCAGGATAGTACAGACCAGCGCTCCTGCCACTTCTGCATCTAATGAGTCTATAGCTTATTTTGGTTTCACATTTTTGGTTAAATTACAGAAATAAATACACTCTTTTAAATGTTGCAGATTTTTGTCATGGGTAGGGTTAGGTAAGATGTTTTATTTTTTTTAAAGACAACAAACTCACCACCCAAAGTGTGTGTTTGCTCAGCAAAGATTTCCTACATCCTCATTTCTGATCAGGGTCAGTGCCCCTGTTTGAATCCCCATTGTGCTGTGAGCTGTGATTATACTAAGCCGCATGCAGCAGTCCTCTTTCATGAAGGGCCTGCAGGGACACACTTAGAGAAATGGGATCCAATTTGCAGCCACAGACTACATTTGGGGTCTAACTCTGGCCTGATTCTGCCAAGTCCAATGCGAGGAAATACCAGTGAAACGCAGAACAAATTATTCCGGGAAAGAAGTGACAAAATGTAGGTGAATGTCACAGATGTCAGGGTGAGTGTAAAATGTGTAAAATTAGAGGCTATATCTGGGATTCAGCACTACAGGGAGACAAAAGGGCCTTAAGTTAAACACACCAGGGAACATATACTGTAAGTTATAGCACTATGGTAAATGTGTTCATGCATAATATTACAGAGAGAGGTAAGGTGCATGGTATTGTTATAAAAGCCAGTGACCGGTTTACCCTCAGCATGAGTAAACAGATTTTAAATACTTTCTTGTATACATTTACAAACAAATCACAAATTACTATGACGAGTCATTTCAAAAACAGGTAGGTGCCAATGAGTTCAGATGTAGCTAGACATCAATATTGGGCATACCCTGTGGTGCAAGGGACAGGTGTCAGTGATGCTGCTTCAGCCGCGGACTGGCCAATGACTACTCTTCCACTACTTGGCGCCACTACTCCCAGAGCTCAGGCTTTGGCGCCAGCTCTCACTCAGAGCTTGGACACACAGTCAGTGAGTCTAGTGCAATAGTCAGCATCACACACACAAACTTCAATTCAAACGCCTTTGGGATCTATGATTTGACTATAGGTGCAGAGCTCCTGATGAGAGGGGCAAGGATGAGTATGGTGATAAGGATCTGCAGCTTGGACTCTCCAGGGACCACAGAAGACGAAGGTGAAGAATGCACTGCTGGCAGTCCCTCTCCTCATTACGGGGTCAGAGCAGTGCACTTGGCGCTGCAGCAGTCATGCAGGTGTACTTACTGTTTGAACATTTCCACAGCAGCTGATTTACAGCTCAAGTGTCTACTCCCCGTCATTTTCCCCCTCATTACCTTATCCCCTTCTCAAGGTCTGCTCTGGAGAATATACAGGCTCAATTAAGCCGTTCTGACCGGAAATCCCATTGCTCATAAATCAGCTCCAAGGGCTACTGATCAGCACAGTGGAAAGAGCAGGCTGTGGAGTGTGCAGTAATATAAATCAAAACAGAACTACAGAGGATATTGCAGGAGATAAAATACTGTTGTACTTCTCGCCGTAAATCCAGAAAATAAGTAGTGATTGTGTGA